GTACAGAGGGTTTCGAGCTGCACCTTGCATCTTCCAGGCCTTCCTCTGCTCCTCTTTGGCGATCTGCTCCATGTCCTTGTCGTAAATGTAGTCCTGACACACGAAGCAGTAAATGCCGCCGTACAGCAAGTCTATAGCTGGAAGAGGAGGAGCAGCAGCAGTCATCCCTGGCTGATCACGCCGTGCCCCCCATGCCCGCCGTGCCCCCCGTGCCCGCCGTGCCCCCCGCCGCCGGCAAAACCATCAGGTGGAAAAAAGCAGGGGAGCGTGCAGGTAGGACTACGCCTTGCTGCTGGCTTTAAGTCATCCTCAGGAAGCCCCCATGCATGCTACTCACGTACTGCTGCCATGACGACACCACCATAGTGGAGACCCTGTGTTAATTCCCCAGACTAAGACAATGTGTGAAGGACAGCAATAGGGGAAGATGAGGTTCGGCATGCAAATGTGTGTGTGTGTATGTGTGTGTGGGGGGGAGGTTAGAGCAATGTTCTTTAGTACAACATACGTCTACCGTAAGGTTACCCCAGAAAGGGTTTGCTGTCAGCCAATGAGCAAAGCTGTCATCAGAAAGCATTATGGGTGATCCTGCATTTAAAGCAGCTCTCTGGCCAAATGAGAGACATTTTTGCAGCAGGCCCTGGAAGCACTGCATAAATGTGACATGGGAATCCAACCCTCACGCCAGCCCTCCATCGTCACGCTACAGCTCAGTGTCACCGCGTCACCAGTCACAGAGCCAGGTGCCTGCACTCCTGACAGAAGAAACTGGCCCAGTACTGTTTTTTTTTTTTTTTTTTACCTATAAAAACTGGTTGAATTGAAAGGGGCACCTTCTGCAATGGGTTAGGGTTAGGAGAAATGCAGGCAAACAGAACAGTTAAAACAAGTCTCATGAAAATCATCTGCCTAAATGGACGAAAGGTTTTGTTACATTTCTTGGAAGTTGCAATCTCCAGTTTAGGGTGAAATTGGCCACCATGACTGCAAATTGGCAGCAGGGTGGCGACAGATCAGCAGTGTGGCCGTCCCTGAAGCACCCCCTGCGCCCCCGTACTGACACCACAGTAATGTTCACGTAGCCCCCCATTACTGGCGTGAAACTGGAGCATGCAGAGCCAGGGTAGGCCTTCACTGCACACGAACAAGCAGCCGCAGGAAGGCCTTTGACTGAGTAACCATGGGAACCAGGAAAATAAGGCAATAACACCGCTACAGAAAATAAGGTAGGATGATTTCATAAAGGGGGCGGGAGCATCCATGAGGACAACAGCCCGGAGAAAACACTAATTTGATTAAACACGGCCTATTAAGTGTGATTTTTGCCTTCTCGTAGAGGATTTTCCAACCCGTTTATCCATTACGGAATCCGGGATACTGTGTAAATCCATCACCTAATTATCAGGCCCTTTGTCCTTCATTTGGGGGAGGGGCAGAGAGACAGAGCAAGCAATGTGAAGCATGGATAATGCAACTGCACAGGAATCCCAGCATGCACCAGAAGCCACCCAGAATGGGAGCCAGCGGCGAGCCCAAGGCTGCCCCCTTCGCTTAATGTGATGCGATTATACGAACCCGGGATCATTAGTCAGCTAAGCAGCTTTTGACACAGGCATATGAAACAAAGAGAGCTCTAATGGGTTTACATCACTGATCCCCAATTACCCCCAGCTCCAGTTGGGGAAAAGGGCGCCGACAGGCTGCACACACAATTATCTCGCCCGCTCTCGCTTCCCTGGAGCCAGTCGCCACGCATTGCACGTTTCCGGAAAACACTGCAAAGCAACAGGCTTCTTCTAGGTCATCTTAGGATCGCGCTGCCCAGATTTATGATTTCCCTCGGTGTTCGAGTTGTGGGTGATTCACTGAAACGGCCAAAACCGTCAGGATGGCACAGGTGAGTGGCCGTGATGAGAAATGCTGACCTTTACTCCAATCTCCCCCGACAGTGAAATGCACTGTGGGAAAAAGGACAGGCCAATCACGCGAGGACTATGGTATCACCATGGTGATTTGCCTCAGTATAACAGGATACTGTTTGCCACCATTGGTCTCTCTGGGGATTATTAGCACCTCACACAACCACTGTTAGCCACTGCGAATGGGAACATACAACACTTAGAGGAACCCTCCCAAGCTCGCTGCTTTTGGGCAGGGGGGGTTGGACACAAGCCAGTGGTGCCTGGATGAGGGATTTTCCTCCACTGTCATTTTAGTGTTTCTTCACAAGAGGGTGCAGTTGAGCACAGCCCAAAAGGGTTAATCATCTGTGGTCATGTGTATATGAATATGTGTATATGGAATTTCAGTGAATTATTTTTTCCTAGTCCAGCCCATGGGGACCCACATCCAGTCCACATTTTTGCTCCCTACAAGCTCCCTGCCAAACAGTCCACATTTGCTGGGAGAGAGCAAAAACATGGACTGGTCTTTGGGTCCCTGAGGATTGAAGTAAATTTAGTGGCTGGCCCTCTCTCACCTAGGTTGTGCCTTTTACTTTTGGCGTGTTCGTGGATGTGTTTCTTTGTGAAACAGCCGAAGAAGACGCAGTAGAGACAGGAGTGGAGTCTGTTCAGGTGGGCGCCGCACATGTGGCAGATACACGACTTTGCCTGCAGGGGGAGACAGGGAGAAGCGGGGAGGCAGTCAATAAAAGATTACACAAAGAAATTTAAAAACACGAAACTGAAACAAAAGGTAGTGAAAGACATGGTTGAGAGATGGTCTTCATAACGTTTAAGAGAGACTCAGATTCTGTGACAGTCATGTGACAGAGGTGATGACTTTATGGCCCACTGTTTTGATCACAGTTGCAGTCCGCCTGCTGCTCCTTGAAACACTGTCCATAAGCGTCATACAGGATCTCGAGACACTAGCGCTGAAAAGGCACCTGTCAAGGCAAAAGGCCTCATGGTGGTTAACAGCGAGCGCCAGGTAACGAGAGTCAGCCTGCTGTGTGAAAAGCTAGGATCTCACTTTAGGAAGCTAATCATTTGGAATGAACTTAACTAAGCGTGTATGAAAGAAGCATCTGTGAGGAGGCATCACGCCCTCTTAAGGCACCGCGTGGGACTGCGAAGACACGAGCGCCATCTCCACACCCCCGAGCCTCGATGAGGGTGACACTCCGCATTGTCAGGCTCTACCTCACTCTGCGGCATTAGAGTTCTCCGGGACAGAGATGCTCACGAAGCTCAGAGTCAGGTTGGGTTCATTTACAGTCACTTGTCTGACCCTTATCACCCAAAAGGGACTTACAGTAACCCTTCCCTCTACAATCCATGAGTGCTCCCTGGGATTCGAACCTACAACCTTTGCATAGTTTGCAACACTCCGCTTGTGGAGCTACAGAAGTACGTCCAGAGACACACTGCTCCGTATGAGAAAACGCTGGTTAAGGAAAAGAAAAAAAAAAAAAAAAAAAAAGAGTAGAAGGGGATTGGGGGGCAGGGGTCAGACAGCAGAGAATGCGGTTCTGGGTGGAAACATAATCTGGACAGAAAAAAAGAGCCTATGTGGAAGGCGGTCTGAGGAAAAGGCCTGACTATAAGAGAATCTTCTGGAAAGGCCACACCCACAGAGCCAGGGGACTCCAGGCTGAAGCTCAGTGCTGTACAGAAGCTTGGCTGAGCAGTGCCTCCCTCAGCCTGTCCGGGATCATGTTGCCCTCCTCGCAGGATCGGGGACCTACCCGACGGTGGCACCCTTCCGGAAGCGCCCATCCAGATACCGTAAGGGCCCCCCGAGTACGTCAGCTGCCATTTAACTCCGGCAGGGCTCACATTAAACACTGTCAGTTCTACAATGTCTCCAGTCTCGGTTACAGATCAGGTTACAGATACACACACACATGCACGTTACTACTGGAGACAACCTGAAATGGCCCGCAGCACTATAGAGCATTTCTGGCATGTCGTAAGACAAAATGAAAACTCTCAAGCCCCGCCAGTGAGGGAGGTTCAAAATCGGAAATACAGAGCATTAACCAACCTGCCCACTATGAGCACATTAGCATAGTGCTAATGAAAAAATTAGCACGACATATCTTGACTGCGATGCAGCTCCCCCTGCTGGCGTAAGGATGCCGAGGATACGCAGCTTCTCCGAGGACGGCAGGGATGCAGGACGCGGGGAGAGTAGTGGAAGCCGCCGGCAATGATGATCGTGCACAGATGCAGCCCGACTTCCTTCATGGGTGGGGGCCTGAGCCGTCCAAGAAGCAGTCAGGGGAGAGACGACGAGCGCGGCCTCATTACCGACGACGCAAACACCGCGCAGATGAATTACACTCACAGCATGCCGTCGGGTCCGAGTGGTGCAGCTGATTGTCGCATGTGGCCGCAAGCACTACAGTCACGCTCCACCAGGGGGAGCAATCGGGACAGATGGGGGGGGGCAGCACGGAACACAACAGCAAGGAATAAAGAGAGTACACCCTCACATTAACATTTCCCATAAAAACCTCCCATTAACTCTGGGATTTTTGGCCCCTTCACTGCCTGAATGCTTGTGACAGAACGTGTTGCCGTCCGCAATGCACCAGGGCACAATAGAAAACAGATTTAAAAAACAGATAAGGAATAAAAGCAGATCTGATATTGCTGCAATCAGCAGCCACACCCGCCCATCCCCACTATGTGTAAAAATCCAATCTGCAGCCTCTATTAATTCTCGGTGTCAGCATTTCCATACGGCATTAATGTCCTATTAGGTCACGTATTGATCAGACACTGGCCAGAAGGACTGGGGGGCAGGGCTGGGGGAGGGATCTCTGGACAGCTTTCTTCAAGCTTGAAGGTTTCACTATATGATTCTGTTTTGCTTACACATTCACTTTGGCTCCATCATCTCACATTCCAGAACAAACCCATCCTGATATGCATCATCAGAAGCGCCTTACCCGATGGTGTCGGGATACGCAGGCAGGAAACCCAACGACAGCACGTGTCACTCACCAAGCAGACCGGAGCGAATTACGACACCACGTGACATTTCTTAGGTAAACAGATGCAAACAAAAGCTCAGTAGGCCTGAATTACACTGACTAGGAAGATGTACAGTTTAAAGAGAACCAGAGGCTCTCCCAAGGCACTAGAGAGACTACCTAGTTTTACTCCAAAGAAAAACCAAGAACTTCAGGCGTTTTGTCTCTGAATTTCTGGCTACACTAGTCGCCCCAGATAAGGGACGATCTGCTCAATTAAAACAACTGCTACAGACGGTCAAAACCACAGAAACACAAGGCCTTCTAGAAGGTTCCGCGCCCAGTCCGGACGGTGCCAAGGCCTACCCACAGCGATCCGAAGGATGTTGGAAGCTGGCAGGCTCGCGGGCCATCACGCGAGAGCACAGGTCGGGTCAGTAGCAGCTCGTTCAACATTTATGCAGACAGTCTTAAGATTTGATAAACGGAAATGCTTCAGCAGCACTGTGCAAGGAGGCCTGGCCTGATCTACAGCCCACCAGGAGGAGTGCTGCCGGGGGCTCTGCTGTAAATGTCACACCTGGGGTTCTCAGCTTGTCCAGGGTATATCCAACATCCAACACGCCTCCCCATCCAGAACGTGTCACAAATAACTTCCTCCTCTTTCAATGCCCCCCCAACCCTTCCCAGCTTCCATTTTAATTACGGCTCGCCTATGTTAACCCCCCTGGGGGCATGGGGCTCCGCTGGATTATACGCTCAGAGACCGATATCTCTCACTGCCACTCACTGCACTGCAGGAACATGTTGCAGTAGGGGAAGTCGGTTGCCATGCCGATATTTTATCCTGAGCTTTTCATGGTTGGTGCCTTGGTTTACAAGGCAATATCAGACCCAGCTTCTCACCCCACCAGGGATAAAAACAGCTACATGCTTCCTGCAGTTATGCACAGATTCCATCCAGTACTCTCTGACAGCGAGGTGACAACAAGCTGTGGTCTTTTTGGGAGCACGATGCTCGAGGAAACAGATCCCCATGCAGGTAATGGTCCAAGACTCTGGGTGGCACAGTCCATCGTCAATCAATCTGTGACCTCATGGGTTAACGAAAGCAGGCCTGGGGCGAGGATGGGGTGCCAAAGACACAGTGTCATCACAGGGCAAAGTGCCAGAGCACCGCCCAAGGGCTACAATGAAACCACCAAGATGAATCAAAAGGTCTAAGGTCACCAGATGAGAGACAGGTCTAACACCAGAAACATGGATACAATCAAGAGATAAACCATCTATAAAGGTGATCGATATAATCAAACATCTGGGAAGAAAAAAAAACATCTGGAAGAAAGACTGGAGCTGAGGCATCAGGTTGGACAGAGATGCCTACCATCCTGTAGGCCAAGTAGTTCCTGGACCACAATGACTGGTCACATGACCCAAGCTGCTGCCCATCACACTTGTGCTTACTAAGTGTAGAGAGATTTAATAAAGTGATTTGATCAGAGGTGGAAAGTTCAGGTCCAGACCGAGATTTTGTTACAACCAAGGCGTTGAGTACTTCCTGGACCCGAACTTTCCACCTCTGGATTTGATGAAGCGGTTTGAAGAAGCAACTTTCCTCACAATATAACAGAAGCATATTTTTGTCCCATTCAAATGGTACGGTAACATCAAGAATGCAGGACATTCAAAAGATGCTAAGCATGTTTCAGAGAACACAGGAGCAAATCTTGTACCCAGCTCAACACCAGAGCATGACAATTCCATTACTGCCAGAAAAAAAGAACACAAAGACAGGTTAGAACCTGAAGAAAGTGCCATTGTTCTCACCTCCCTAAAGTTCAGTCTAATCTCCACCTTCCCTGGTTTCTCGCTGCCACATCTATGCTTTCCACACCTATGCCGAAGTTGACTATGACGAAAACAGTGAAAGAACTGCATGCACACCTCAAGAGAGTCATTACTGCAACAACAGCAAGACATGCGCATGACTGGGTGTTGGTGATGCCTATTTTCACACAAGGTGAGTGACTAACAGAGAGCAGGAGGTGGGACCAGCCGCCATCACTCTGGGCCTCGACAGTGGGACCAGAAGCTACCAGGGGCAGGAGAACGATTCCCACTGAACAGTGAGGCCCACAGAGAAAGTCCCTGATCCAAGTGAAAGAGCAATAACAGCGAAGAGGACGTCAGCTAGGCAGAGACAGGCTCAACGACACAGTCACGCTATTCATACTGCCCCCTGGTGGTCTAACATGCCTTTAACATGAAATGCATTGACAAATTTCATCAACACATTAAGGAACTGGAAAGCAGTTTCCCCCAGTGTTTTGGACCCTTCATCAACTGGGATATGCAGCGTAAATGGTATTTTTACAAAAATCTATGAAAACAATAAAAAAAAAAAAAAAACTGAATTAGCCAAAAGCAGAGGTGGAGATTTCAGGTCCAGAGAGTAAAGACTTTGTTTCAACTTACTAGTTGAGTACTCTATGACTATGACTTTATACTGAAGTGGTTGGTTGAAACAAAATCTTGGTCTGGACCTGAACTCTCCACATTTGGTTGGCCACATGGTTAAGGTTAGGGTCATCATAGGGTTAAGTTTAGGGTAATATGCCCATAGAAATTGAGACAGCCCACAGTGACAGGGATATATGACCTGTGTGTGTGTCACCCATTTTCACTCTTCAATTAACACATCTGATACAGACAATCAGGCCCTTCAGTAACACCTCAGTATTAGAGCCATCTTAGTTTTAACATAGCTGACTCCAGTGCTTATCTGTATAAGG